AGGTCATTTTAGTGCGATTGTGCCATAAGTCGTTATATGAATTTGCTCTACCCTTACAAGGGTCCTTTTCAACTATTTATACATAGTTTCAGTCGAAATTATATCAAATCAATCAAATTAACAATAGTGCCGAGCTCGGAACTCGGGTCGTTGAATTCTCCTGTGATTGGTCAATGAAGTCGGTGGTCATGTGTCAATGTATTACCCAGGTAATGATGACCTATAAGGGGCTGGAGTTCGAGAACTTGGAATTGGTTGTTCCGGGCGGCGATGACATCACCTGTGGCAAGTGTCTCTGATTGATAGGGTGATGTGACAAGGGGTAATCATGATGTTTTTTTAAGAGAACGGCGGGTAACTCCGACCTGAGAGTGTGGGCCGAACTTACGTTTAACTGAGGTGGGGTTAGTGAACTGTTTTTACCAGATCGGAGTTCGGATGTCAACAAGTTATAACCAAGAGAATGGTATTATAAAGTATATATTTATTTATTGTCTTGTATATATTCGAGTTCAGCATATTAAATATAATACTTTTAGCTAAATATAAAAATAAATTTCGCCATTTTAATACAAGTTTTTGGACATAATTTCTTTGGTCCAAGTTATAGTTGAAATACCATAAATACCTTGTGGAAGAAGTTGTACATTTTAATATAAAATGCAGGAAGTTTTATTTTGATGGTCGGGCCATTAGAAGGTTAGTATTCTCTCCGTCCCAATTATATATGTTGACTTTTCTTATTTTTATGTCCTGATTATATAGTCATGTTTCTTTATTGAGAATGTTTTATTTTATTCATTTATAAATATACCCTTATTTAATTCGCCCGATTATAACCAATTTTCTTCATTTAATCTTGGAAAAGTATAGTTATTTATAATGGTAGATTAGAAAAGTTTTTGGCAAAAATTTCTTTTCCTATAACATTAAATAAAATTTCTTAATTAGTGTGAAAAACAAAACCAACTTATATAAATGGCACGGAAGGAGTATTCATTATTGAATTATTCTAAGAAAGTCGAATGGTCGATTATAAAGATCGAGAAATGGACAGTTAAGGCATTGAGCCTATCCATCAAGCAAGCATGAGAAATTTTCATTGCTGATTCCTTGAGTATACATTAATTGAGTTGTAATTTTCAGGTTTGTCTCATCTCAAATTATCACAATTGATGACATAATCTACTTATATATATCAATAATTGAGCGATGGATGGAGGTTTGAAGCGAGATAGTGATATTATGAGGTGATAATCTAATGAGATTACAACACTATGTCTTTCCTATCATATCATATCTATAACCTAAATTATAAGATGTGACACCAACAAAATATAGATTTTACTTAGATGAGACACCAAGAACAAATGCATGTCCTCGAGATGCACAGGTGTGAATTGCTCGTGTCACGAGCGTGTTAGATAAAGAATTTTAAAGAATAAATTTTGCGAAAATTGATTTTTTTTTTTAAAGAATGTATGGTAAAAAAGTAGGAATATTTTATGGATCCACGTTCAAAATAAGGAAATGTATAGTTGAAAAGATGAGTTTTAAAAATCTCTATCAGACGTAGACTATATATGTTCGAACATGTATACATTAAATTTTACTGTTCGTGTGAATACATTATTTTCACTTGTATTTTTTGGACCAATATGAGGGATGTGGTAGATGGTATTTGAGAATCTTAAACCCTACAAATTATTTATTTATATACTTCTATATAAAAACTCTTCATATTTAATAATTATTCACTAACATAATATGACCTTTTAGAAATTCTTTCTGATTTCTACACTAATAAACTCCTTATGTTAAATAAGAGAACGTCATCATAATATTAAAATATCCCAACATATATAAAAGTAAAAAAATAAGTGTCAATTAAATATTTTAAATGTTGTGTTGTTATTTAAATATCTAAGGGCTTCGATTATGGAGGAAGATTTGAAATTCATTGTCTCGATCTAGTTGTCTCTTTGACTTTTTATTCAAAAACGTTGTTGACACATTGACGAATTAAGTTGTTAATAAATTAATGTATCAAGGTGTCAAAAATGTATGACGGGGATATCGAGTTTGGAATAGCAAAAAATAAAAATAAAATAAAAAAGAATAGAAAAAAGTTTAGAAATGGGATAAGAATGTAGAGTGGTCAGTTCAAACTCCAATAAGAACTTTTGGGCCCGAAGTCATGTTGTTGGGGGGGTCACAGTTTATGTGCTCCTTTCCCTGCCAAGAACTATATTTCTTTGTTTTGAACTGCTTAAGCTACCATTTGATGATTTTATGGGAATTTTAAAAAGAAAAATTGAAAGGAAATTTTGTTCTTGTTTATTAAATATGAATAGTTTCGAAATGGAAAAGCTAGGCTTGCTTGCAACCTTGGTTATCGAGGCGATAATGGAAGAATAATTTTCTCTTAAAAAGATTTTTTTTGTTAAAATAGTTTTTTGGTCAAAGCGAATCTCTATTCGACTACACAATCACCTGCCCCTTGATTGAGTTTGAAATGAAGTCTACGTGTATTCCATTCTTCTTTCCATCATCCATTCATATCTTCACAAAAATTCATGAGTCGAACTACGAAACTCCATCTTTTACACTCATCTACTTTTAAAGTGCTCCAGTTACTACCAGAACAGAAAGGTGAAAATGAACTAAGAATTGATTTATTCCCCTATTATAATTCTTTATGTATTTCTTTCCACTTCACTGGCATCAAAAGATTGCCATTGGACAGATCAAACCAAAACATAAAACAAGTTTGAGAAAAATGGTCAAAAGAGGCATCATCTCTTATTTGAGATTCTGTTCTTGTGGTGAAGTTTTTGATTACGAACTAAAAATTATTTTCCAAGCTGCTTTCTTTCAATTATACATTTCTCTTTCAGATAGGACAATGGATTAAGTCGAGCCAACTCGGTACTTAGACACCCGAACTCATTTTGTGTGGACATGAGTCGAGTCCAACTTGTGTCCACATACAGCGCTAGATCAAAGTTGAGCCGGCTCATTTTTTCGAAAAAAAATTAATACAATGAGCCAAAAACGAGCTGGTCCACAAGCTCAGGACAAGTTGTTTCATGGCCAGACTTGTGAAAAAAAACTGAACTCAACCCGAGCCATGACTTGTCTCAATACAAGCTCGAGCGGCCATGTACCAAGTCGAGTCCACGTAGAGTTCCGCCTGATTGTCACCCCTCATTAGAGAGCATTTTTATAGAAATATTGTTATTGATATATGTTATGCCTCGTATACAAAAATCCCAAGTGGAGCCACGTTGAAGCCACGTGGACGAACCAGCAAGGTCAAGATAAGGAAAAGGAAAAAAGAAAAAGCTTCGTGTCTGAAGTTCTTTGCCGAGGTACCCTTCTGTCTGGCCGAACTTCTGCTTGTCCGAATCCTTCTCTTTTGAGCCGAAGTGCATGCCACCATTAAGAAAGAGTATCTGTAGAAATGATTGATGTAACGTTTGTATTAATAACTGTTAGAAATGTCAATCTAGAATGTAGGACGTCTGACCCTTTGTCAATGTATTTAATGGATGACAGAGAGTAATAGAAGGCTCTGGTTAATGTTGGGGAAGGGGTGTAAATATATATAAAAACTTCATATACTTGAAATTATAACTCTCTCTTGTTAGTATCTTGGTATTTGAGTTTAGATTCATTTTATTTTGAGAGTTGTTTGAAGATCATTGGTTTTGCAATTTCCATTGATCACATTGTGGGGCTCAAACGTTTTCGTCTCATGTGATATAGTATCTCTCACATCCATTATCATCGTGATTTTTCGACTGTATTTTCAGTTAAAACGTGCCGAAATTTGCTTGCATTGACACGAGTGGGCCCGACATCTGTTGTCCACATCATCGTTGCAAAAAAGGGGCCAACAGAACGGGGTGGTTATTTTTAACCCACAATATATATAAAAGTCATCGACAATAATTTCCAAACAAGGAAAAAGGAAATTTGGAATGTGTTTGGCTGTGATAAAATAAGTCATATTTACTTTTAAATTACTTATTTTATCAGACAATTCTCAATATTACTTTTTATCTTATAAAACTTATCATTACAGAGTAAATCTCTAAAGAGGTCATCTTTTGAAAGTACAATAAAACTTGCTTCATGAGAAAGGACCAAATATATAGTGTCCCACTTCACTTCGTCTATGCACGATAATTTTGTTTTATTTATTTATTTACTTTAAGGCATGATAAGTTAACCTAACTAAAATTAGATACAATTAAATGCAATAATACCACACAAAATGGAAAGATTTGTACGAGTTATACGTTTCGTAGTTGTCTCCACCTCCAGCTGCTGATGTTGTTGATTTGGCGACCTTCACCCGTACCAAAGCAGGATGGTCTGAGAGTGGCTTTTAACTAAGCTGCCTTTCATTGCTTTCTTGAAAGGCGACGAGCTCGAGAGCTAGGTCATCAAGATAATACCAAACGATTTCCCACTACCAGACGATTTGGGATTGAGATGGGGTACCAAGGCCTTTGATGGAGTCGAAAGCTTTCTGGCAATCGTTGACGCAGGTATGGAATAAATAAATTGATGGACTATCTTGGTCTTGTTGCAAGATTTATAATGACTTTCTTTGAGATTATCAAATCATGTGTTAACTACCTAAGTTACCGTTTCTTTAATTTTTCCTCAATCAAAGCAATCTCCACTTGTTCTACTAAAGATAAGAACATGTCACTCTTATACTCTATGCAAAATATGTGGTATCTATCTAGCTGTTCTTCTCTTAATTCATTTTCAATTAGTGCCAATTCCCCTCGTTGGTATACATCATTTTTAATTCCATTCATTTTAGTATGCCCCACATGTCTATCTGAAAAGGGTTGATATCAGTTGACAATCAACATAAAATGTTGTCAAATTTCACTACACCAAACCAAAAATTAATGGTTCTGATGATGAAAGGAATGAGAAAAATTCCACGAAAAGTAGAAGAAACTCCATTAAAAAAAGAATGATCAAGAAAATCTGCAAAAGTCCCCAGTATACAATTAGCTTTTTGACAAACTGAAAAAGCTCAGCCCCACACAAAGTTTCCTTTTGATAAGATTCTACACACTTGAGATCATGTAGAAAGACAGTTCAGATCAGAATACAGACTAAATTAAATTACAGAAACATAATTGATTAATTAAATTCACATGTAGAGAATTACATTACAAGAACAACATATATGGATTATTTTTCATGAGAATTTGGAGAAAGTAAATATGAGGCTCTAAAGACAGTTCCAGTAAGTAGGTTATGGAATTATCTTGTATCCACCATGCCAAAGAATCGAGAAAAGGTCTTGACCTTTCTTCTGCGTTTGATAGAGGGATTAGATAGTACCGAATAATAATGTCTAGTCTCACCTTGTACTATGTACATCTTATTGACCTGTGGGCCGACTCCTCTTTTGACAAGCTATTCCTGACTTGAGGGCACCACTGGAATCCCCTTCGGATGAAGCATCCATGGATTTGGTGAAATTTGTTGAAAGATCAGCATAAAGATCAGCCACTGTTCTGATGTTATTATTGAGTTTTCTGATCAGACCCACATTTCTGCTCAAATTATCAGGCATTTTGGATTCATGGTTCTGATTAATCTCATTGATTAACAGCCTGTTCTGATCAAATATATTTTGTACTTGGACAAAACTTTTCTGAAATGTATGTACAATTTGGCTATCCAACTGAGTACCATTACCAGAGCCTGAAAATGTATCCCCCTCCATTCCTGAGTACAATCAAAGCAAAGGAGATGCTGCACAAGATTGACACCCACCTAAACAAACAAACAAGAAGTTAACATAAAGAATAAATAAGAGAGAAACGCAAAAGAGAATGGGAATCGGAAAGAAGTAAAGCAAACACATAGATTTATAGTAATACAAAGTTTCACTATGCCTCTCAAATATCCAGGAAGTTCACCCTCAAAATAAGACTCACCTTCACTTATCGCCTCTCACACGCCTAAAAATGACATCTTAAAAGGTGGACCTAATATTTATGTAAAGACAGTATGCATAAGTTCGATCTTCCATCGATGAGATTTTTTTTTATTTTTTATTTTTTAATGACCGTGGGTGTCCGGGTTAATTTAAGCACACTTCGACTAATCCCACGAGACCCTGAAGTTTATAGTCGGGTACTCATCTCAGTGGTTTTGAGGGGACTTGAATTAGTAATCATTGGAGAACAAATCTAAAATCTGACGACTGAACTATCCCTCAAGGTTATCAATGAGATAAATTTATAGTATATGATTAAACTCTGTACCATCTAACAAAAGACGATATTATTAAAGAAAAAGAACACGACAAGAAGGCACAGTCTAATATTTAATTCTATATTGGTTTAAAGAAATGCTTATGATCATATCTTCCAGTGTGTACTTATATTAACTAAAATCCTAAACAAAACATGATAAGATTTTGACTTGTTTATACACAATATGTGCACTAAGAGACAAGCTCTGAAGTTGATATCAATGCCACCCTCCAATCAGCTACATCCTTTAGAAAAGGAATCATAGTTATATTATTAGTTATTCTATATTATTATTATTATTATTATTATTATTATTATTATTATTTCTCATTTATAATATGGATTATGATGAGATGTGAAAGTAGATCCCATTTCCATGAGAGGGAACCTCTTTTAGGGATGTCAACGAATCGAAACTCGAGGTTTGGGCTTTTTGTGGCCCAAGCAGAGTCGAGTCGAGCAAAAGTTCGGCCAAAAAATCGAGACTCGACTCGAGCTTTCGGCTCAGGACTTATCGAGCCGAGCCGGCTTAATTTTTCATTTTTCCCTTCATAATTGCCTTAACCGGCAAAAATCTACTGCCACAATTAGGCAGCTATACCTATATATTTTTATAATTCATTTTGTTTTTTTTTTTTTAACTAGTTGGCTCGGGTCAGCCCCGGCTCGAGCCAACTCCCCAAAAATGAGGCTCGGCCCGAGCCTTGGCTTGGTGCTTCAAGCCACTAGCTTGATCGGCTCGAGGTCGAGCCGAGCCACAGGCCGTCCAAATAGACAAGTCAAATTTACATCTTTAACCTTTTTTACTCAGGAAAACCCACCAAAAGGTTAAGCTTAGAATTCCAAAGAAGAATTTCATAACCCAAAAAACCATTCAGTGATGCCCACAACTCTCAAAAATAAGGAACCATCGTAAAAAATTATTGGACATATTATCACGATCATAAAAAACTAATCTCACAAATTAATCTAATTAATTGTATAAGACACCTACCAATGGAATATTCTCCAATTACATAATAAATAAAAGATAAGTTTCTACAGAAATTCTTGGAACAACTATTAGGGAGCTGGTAAAAACTAAAAACATAGAAAACATAATAAAAAAATAAAAATAAATTAATAAAAATACTTTTTTAATCATTTCTGGTAAAATGGAAAAAAGGGCTTTTGTTCAAAATTCTGAAAAAGCATAAAGCAGCAAGGACGAAATTGGGAATTCAAATGCTGGACCCGTACTAAATAAAAAAAATAAAAAATGAATTGCAGTTTCAGACAGGATAGGTGTTCTTAAAATAGAAAAAATAAAAAATAAACAAAAACTTAGAAATAAAGCCATATAATTATAACCCGTTGAGGAAAACGATGAATCAAAATCAATTATCGAAAACAGATCCAAATTAGTGAATAAATATTATAACTACAGTCTATAATTTCTACAGAATCAAATACACACAGAATAAATGAAAATGGAGTTGAAGAGCACATATACTGAGCTGATAAAACTTTCTGAAGTAAAAAAATAAGGGAAAAAATTCTTTCAAACAACAATATAATTACTTCTCCCTCAATGACTATGCTGCAGAACAATATATACACTTATTTATTGTTTTATACGTACCTTGAAAAACAGTAAACATTATATGTAGAGAGATTATTATAGGAGGAAAGATCGGCGATTGAATCGAATCTCCCAAGGAGAATTGTGTGCGTGTGAGAGAGAGAGAATTTGCAGATTTGACAGTCACGCTCCAAACTAACCTCAGTCTGTGTTTATAAATAATCGTTTACCTTCTTCTCTGAGTTGTTATTCCAAGAGTCTGTTATTTTTTTTCTTTGTAATAATTTTAACGGAAAATCAGGTTTGGATTCCCTAACATTTCACATGATATGGTTACTCAACAAAATTTGATAGAAATTAAATAATTAATTTTAATCAAATATTTTATAGTATCCACAACTTTTCAACCACACATTTCATAACTTTTTTTAAAATCTACTAAAAATCTGATTTTATATTTTAATCCCTACACAACGGGGGATAAATTTGTAAATTTGTCCATGTAGACATCGTGACTTGTATGTGACCTTTACTTCAGTAGGAGTGAAATATTAATTGATTTGACAATTTTTCCTTCCTAACTTTGAACCGGGGTGAAAGTTGAGTGTAATTTTAACATATGTACTAACAATTTCAGCCACGCGAGATCCATAAATAAAATAAAACAGGGAGCTAGGACCTCAGTTTTGAAAGTTGAGATCTATAACCACACAAGTTCGGCCCAAATAATCTCGTAATCTAGTACAAATTTTGTTTTTTGTGATTTGGACCCTAGTGTTTCGCCATTGAACACATCACCAAATATTGAATAAACCAACTAATGGATAAGTGGTCAATGATTTAATTGAATACATTTTAAAACTTTGGTGACTAAAGTGCCGTGTTTTGAAAGTATGGTAAAGAAAGTTTTTACCCAATTAATATTAGATAATTCTTCTTGTAATGATTTGCTTGAAAACATAATAACATTCATGATGGTCAAAAAAGAGAAATTAAATGTATTTTATGTAGAATTATAAATAAATAATATTAACTTAGTCAAAATATAATAAAAAAGTTATAATGAGTTGCTAGATTGCATGTGATTTAAATTTACCTCGAATGATTTTGTTAAAAAAAAATTATTCGAATAGATTTTAAGCATCGTTAAATTATCAAATCTCATATCAATTTTTATTTTTTTTAATCAAATCTCGAAAATAGATAATGTAGTGACAAATTTTGTTTTCCTAAACAAATTATTTGAATTTCAACATTTTTGTTCTTGAGAAAAGTGATGGGTAAAAAATACTAGAAGGTCACCCAACCTTGAGAGAAATTTCATTTAAGTTATCTAGCCTCCTCCTCCTTCTTTTTGGTCCAAAGTCATCATATTTCAATTTGTCTTCATTGGCAATGTCATCACAAAAGCTAGCCTCCTCTTTAAGTCGTAGATGCCTTTTCTTACGTAAAAAGTGTAGATTTTAATGGAGTTTGAAATGACATTGTCCAAAACTTCTCTTAGATTCAAACCTAATTGGCTAATTGTCAAGTTGTGTGAGCGTTTTTCGACTTGCAAAAATTGTGCTGGTGTAACATGACATTGTGGTAAAAATTTGCATCTCAATAACATGAATTCCTTATTTAAAGCGGTGCATTGTTGCCTAATCAATACAACCAACTTAAATCACAAGGAGTGCATGCAAGAAAATTTGTCTTTTAAAAAGAGAATTTAAAACGTTGTAACAAATTGTTATTTGTAACCATACTGGGACAATCAAGGGCTTGTTTGATAAAGTTGCTTTTTGCCATAAAGTTGGTCAAACTTCATTTTTAATTAAACATTTCATTCAATCCATAACTTTTTTTAAAACAAAAAAAAAAAAAAAAAATTTTATCATTTAAAAAAAAAAAAAAAAAAAAATTTAATCACACATTTTATGGGATTCACCCACTTTTATTAACTTCATTTTTTAAAAATCTATATCAAACATGCACTAAAACTTTCATGATGAATTAGGCAAAAAAGTAAATAAAGAATGAGTGACTAAAATGAAACTTTACCCAAATGTAGTGACTTTTATTGTCTTTCACCGGAAAAGGGATCAATTTGGTTGGGCGCGGTCTTCTTTGAAAAATACTACAAAATACAAATCATTTGGTTTTTGTTCTAATTTTCAAATATAATCTTCTAAAAAAATATATATTTGTGAAATTCGATTTTAGCAAATTAAGCACATCATGCACTAAATTAAGCACGAACAACTATTTCTAAATATTCGAATATTGGATTGGCCTATTAATGTAGAACTCTTAGTTCAGTCCTTTAGCGGCTCGGACTGATGCCTATTATTGTTATGATTCCTTTCACGTTTATTGAAAATCAACACCTTTTAGATTTTATAAAATTGTTCAAAAGGAGAGGAGATTTTTTTTTATTTTTTAACCTCAATTCCATTTACATTTCAAAAATTGAAAACAACCTTTTAAAAATGTATCGTTATAATCCAAACATTATAATCTTAATTCAAACATTCTAATAAATGCGCATTAGAATGACCTCCGAAAGATTTCTGTTAAAATGTTCCGTTATTTGACAAAAATTTCAACATTTGACCTATATTTATAACAATTTTAATGAAGGGTAAAATAAATTTTGATATTTAATAATAATTAAATAATTAAAATATCCCCCGAACAATTCATTGTCAAGAGCCAAACAATTTTTAATTACTGAAACTTAAATGGATTTTCACTCTTAATTTGAGTCTAATGTAATAACATTACTAGTGTTAAAGCCATAATTATCAGACTCGACTCGGACATCGACCGAGTCAAGGCACCGGGTCCTGGGTTACTGGTTGGACCGGTGAACCGGTGGTCGGACTAGTGGGTCATTACTTAAAAATAATTTAATAATTTTTAAAGTATAATTTTTTACTTTTTTTTTTGTTTGAGACAAAATTAAAGTTTTCAAGTTCTTTGTCATTAATTTTTTCTATACATTTAAATTAATAATTTTTTGAACTCATTTATCAGTGATAATGGTTAAATTTTGATTTTATAATTTTGTATATTATATTAAAAAATATATTTTTCCCTTTTCGTGATTTACAAATTATTTATTAGTTATTGACAAAAATTTTGTGTATTATCTATTCAATTTATCTTAGTTAAAATTAATTTTTTCCAAACAAAATAAGAATATAAAATAATTATTTGAAATTACAAAGTGAATGTAAATGTTGGACTAATTTCTTTAAAAAGGTTTTTAGAAGTAGCAAATTATTCATAGGTTAGATATAATTTATTAAACAAAAAAGGATAAAGTGTTGCTTGCACTAGTGGTAAGATTGTGTTCTATTTACTTAGAGGTTAATGGTTCAAATCTTTGGTATCTAAAATTTCAATGTAAAAGAGTTTTGAAATTTGGTTTAAAAATAAATCGGGTCGAATCGGCCCGAAGATTATTCGAAAACCGCCTGTTGGTCCAGTCAAATCCAAATTTTGACCGGGCCACTTGCATCTATATAAAATCAGCTGTCCCAGCCTAAGTCACCGGTTTACCGATCGATTTTAATAACTATGGTTAAAACATCAATCTAGGTGGCACTAATGTCTCATTAAATGAATGAATAACTTAATTATACATTTCATTAATTCTATCGCTTAATGTAATATAGATCGATATTGTAATACCAATGATGCTAGATA